ACATATATCCATTGTAAGGAAAAGTCTTAAACGTTCCAAAGGCAGGCACACTTTTATTTTTTAAAGATTTATTTATTTAAGAGAGAGCAGGGCGAGGAGCAGAGGAGAGGGAGACAAGCAGATTTCCCACTGAGCACGGAGCCCAATGTGGGGCTCGATCTCATGACCCCGAGATCATGACCTGAGCCAAAATCAAGAGTCGGAAGCTTAACCACCTGAACCACCCAGGCGCCCCACAAGTGATACGAGTGCAGACGCTAGACTCGGAAAAATCCCAGCTCCACTATTTGATAGTTGTGTGGCCTTGGGCGTGTTACTTGACTCTGATCCTCATTTGCCTCAATATATAATGGAGATAAAATGGGGTCTACTCTTAAAGACGTTGAGATGTTGTAAATAAGATAACGTAAGTCAAGTCTTAACACAATACTTGGTACATTGTACCTAGTGTTTACTAATAAATGCTATTTCTGGGCCCATGTTACGGAATTAATGCCACATGGCCAGACTGCTTTCCAGAAACATGGAGCCATTTACATGCCTTGTACACAGCATATGGTACCTTTCATGGCATCTTCTCCAGCAAAGAGTTCAGTCATTTTTTCATCTTTGCCCAATCTCCTTCCAAAGGTTATGTGGGCCCTGGGCAAACCCACCCTGAAGTTCAGCCAAAGGTCATCTTTCTTCTCAGTCTCAGCATCCAGCACTGAACCCCACGTCGGCCACCCCTCCTGGGCTGCAGAGGTTGGAGCTAAGCTGTTCAGCGCCATGTGCCAGTAGGGCCCCCTGTGGTCCAGCTGGGGGCTCCAGGGCCTTCGGGGAGGCTCCTCACCCTCCTCCTCTTTCCTGAACCATCGCCACAGATTTTATTTTTCCCTACATACGGAAAGCCCCAGAAAGAGCCAGTTACTTGGACATTTTGTTCGATTATAAAGAGGGGAAAGGATAAGCTTACAAAGCACACGGCAAACCAGAAGTCATTGTTGTAACAGTTTTTATTCAAGTCTGTGTGTGCTCTGGTGGTGGGACCAGGCTGAGTCAGCATTACACTGTAATACGATAAGAGGTTTAGCCATTGAACCAAGCCTGCTTGGCATCCCTAGTTAACAATTTACAGTACCTTGAAAAAAAAAAAAGCCAAAGAAAAGAACCTGGTAAGTTTCCTTCAGGACTTTTCTATTTTTAAATATCGTTGACAAATTACAATAACTTAAATCCCAAAGCAAAATGGGAATTCAAGGACACAGGCTCAGGGCATACAGACAAGACACTGGAGCCTAGGGATGAAAACTAGTAGCTAATTCCAGAGAAACAAAACGAACACAAATGTGAACTTCCACTTTACCTAGACTCAAAGGCTCTAACGGGGAGGAAAATCCCAAAGAAAGCGTTTCTGCAAACCAAGTAAAACCCATCTCCGTCCTTTTTCCTTAATCCTCCAGAAGATACAGTTTAAATCTGTGTGCAAGCAGGTGAGTGTGTGAGCGTGCGAGTGTGTGCGTGTGTTCAGGATGGACAGTGAGGAAAATCAGAGAAAGCTGATGCGTTCATCACCTCCCTTCTTTGCTACAACTGGGGACCAAGGGCGTGTAACTCATTACAAGGGCTCTTCTCTAGTCTAGCTGCATCGGTGAGCAAGGGACTCAGGAGAAGGCTATGGGGAGGGGATGCAGGCAGCCACAGGCGGAAGGAATCAGGAAGAGCAGTCCTCCTGGCTCCAGATTAAGGAAGGAGCCCAACCTTCAGAACAACAAATGCTAGGGCGAGGCCACGGTGCTTCCAGGGCCCAAGACCGGAAATGAACAAAGGAGGGGGGGTTGCTGTCGGTATCTCATCAGGGCCAATGGAAAATAGTCAACAGTCTGGGAAGCTGATGAGAGGCTCACCTAGCCTGCACAGCCAACCAGAAGCCCAGAGCTGGGTCAGGTTAATGAGGCACCTAAATCCCGTTACTTAGCCTTCATTAGCCAGGACTCCAGTCTCTGCGTCCTGCCTTCAAATGCCAGTGCCTGACATGGCGAGTGCCTGGGTGGCAACGCCAGGGAGGTGCTAGGGACTCCCAGAAGCAGCAGTGTGTTCTCCTTTCTAATGTGGATTTTCACTAATTTGAATTCCTGATCTGAGAAAGCAAGGATTCGTCTGAAAGAAGAGAGCATTTGGGAATATGTTCCTAGTAACAAATGTAGCTTGACAAGGAGTCATCCTCAGGCCTGTAGCCACGGAGAGAGGCAGGTGGCTTAGGTTGAACCATAGGAAACTGCCAATATTCGACTGGTTTTGATGTACAACCACACACACACACACGCACACGCACACGCACGCACACACGCACACAATTTTCTCCACAAAGGGAAGCAATCTAGCAAGGTGAGGCTCATCAGTGCTGGACCTTGGGTTCCAGGATCATACATTTTGAAGTTAAAGGGTTTCCCACTTCAGGTAGGGAAGAAGGTAGCATCCCCCTCAGTTCGTGGTTGGACTCAGAGGTCCAGAGAGGGAAAGAAACATTTGCAACTTCACCCAACTAGTATGGAGGCAGCTCAGGTCACCACTAGCGTGCCGCTCCCGCCACCACACTCCCTTCCGGTCACAGCATGCTGCAGGCTGCTCTCACCTCTGATCCGGCGCCACAGTCTCTGGCAGAGCTTTTGGGAAAAGCCTTGCACTACAGCAAGGGCAACACCTGCTTTGTCTCCCAAATCCTTCAAGAGGCAGTGGAGTGTTTCTCACCTGCCTGAAGGGGGGCCCTCACATACCTGAGTCAAAAGCACAGGCTTAATTAAACACACGAGGAAAAGGTCAAGGCTCCCTGAAGCATACCATTCACAGCCATCCGGCCTTCAGAGTCTGCTGCTCTGTGCTTTTGTTAAAAGCGAGCTTGAAGAGTTAGCAGTGCTCAGGAGGTGTCTCCCTCTTTGTGGGGGGATGGAGGGAGGAGGGGGTCTCCATCGTCGGGACTGAGGAGTAAGAGCGTTGACAACAAGCCACACCTAGGTGCCTTTGGGGTGTCTTGCTGTGTCCCTGAGCAACCGTGGTCTGAGGGAAAAGGGGCCTTGTAAAGAGCCTCACACTAAGACATGTGTCTCAAGGGTCAGCGGACCTTCTCACAAAGATTCTTCCAGGAATTGGCCTGCTTCCAGTCTCTAAACAAAGCAGACTCTGGGAATGACTCCCAAAAAATCCGACGCCCCCAACTGTCATTCCGATGCTGTCTCCAGCCTCCCCATCTCCTAGTTCCTCCTTCCTAAGACACTAATGCTGAGGGCCAGCCTGACAAGTGGGCGGAGTAGAAAGGATGCTTATAAACACCAGGTGCTACATAAATGCAGAAGAACACGTGTCTGACCATGGCCCCCGTGGTAAACCAACTCCAAATCACTACTCTTCCAAAAACCAAAGGAAGGAACAGTAGGCAAGTCCCTTAGAGGCAAAAGTGGTGAGAACCACACTGTTAATGTCAGCAGTCCATCCTAATGGCCTGCAGGGAGCTGCGTGCTCTGCTGACCTGCTCGGATACATGTCCTCATTGCCCTTGACAGGGAAGCAGGTAATGGTTGCTTTTACAGGAAGGAAATTTGAGAGGAGCTAAAAACCAAGCCTGAGGCCAGAGACCAAAGCAGAAAGTGGAAGAGAGCCACCTTGTTCGGGGCTCAAGAGCTCGGTGCCTGACTCAGCAGCCAGCCCAAGCAGCTTTTCAATTTCTCTTCCTTTGAATTTCTTCCTCTTTAAGCATTTCCTCTTCTCCACCAGCAAGTATATCAGGACAATGATGCAATTTTGTAAAGTCAGGAGGAAAGGTTAGCATTATTCTGAGTTGACCCATGTAAAACATCATCATCACCACCTTCATCATTACTACCAGACCCTTGGGATACTACAGGATGTGAAGTGAAGAACATCCACCAAAGCTTCTTAGAAATAACATATTGGGAAAATGGGGACATCCACTCAGCCCCTGGCAGTGGCCTGGGTCCCCAAGGGTGTAAATAGAGGATAATCCTGTTTAGAATCCGTGGAAGGATCCAAGGAGGAAGAGCAGAGAGCAGTATCTGCTTTCTATCACCATCTTCCAGTAGTGAGCACCTGCCAAGAGCAGAGGGAAAGTGTTCCTGAGGAAAGAGAAGGAAAGAGAACAGGAGATGCTGGTTAATGCCACCGCAGGGGCTGATCCCAGCTTCAAGGCCTGCTCCTGACCATGACCACAGACACCAGGGAGCCGAAGTGGACGGAAAGCAAATCAAGTCCATTACTATACAGGATCCTTATCCAACCAAGCCTTGCCCCAAAGAGAGAGACAGAGTGTGGTGGGCAGGGGCCCATCAGAGACAGGGTTTGGAGGAGCTGAGAAAGAACCCCTCCATCTTCGTGCAAGCTCACCGAAGCAGCTTCAGCCTAACCCTGCTTCTGCCTCTTGCATGTGCAATTCTACCCTCAGCAAAACCAGGCTTCCCTTGTCTCCCCTCTGGATGGTGGAGCAAGAAACGGGTTCCACCTCTCACTCAACGCCAAGTGGCCACCATTCAGCCTACACTGCAACAGTTATATGACCACTTCCAAAAAAGATGGCTGCAGCCTCAAAAAAACAACAAAAAGTAGAAAACAGTCAATTGCCTCACAGCACAGAGCACTGTCCAGAGCCAGCCGGGTTTGGATTTTGCTGTATGCTGCACCCCACCGAAGGGCCATTCAGTGGAGCCAAGCGTTCATAGATGCATTCGTGACTTAGGAACCGGGGCTATGGAGAGCCCAGCGAAGGGCACAGAAGAGACCACCTGCAGCCCTCTCCCCGTCGAGAATGAAGGGGGGGGGCGCCTGGGTGGCTCAGCTGGTTAAACCGCTGCCTTCAGCTCAGGTCAGGACCCCAGGGTCCTGGGATGGAGCCCCACATCGGGCTCCCTGCTCATGCAGGAAGCCTGCTTCTCCCTCTGCCTGCCGCTCCCCCTGCTTGTGCTCTCTCCCTCTCTCTCTCTCTCTCTGTGTCAAAGAAATAAATAAAATCTTAAAAAAAAAAAAAAAAGAATGAAGGGGAGTCACTGGTTGGCTGTGGCTAAGATTCACATTTTCCCCCTTCTGGCCAAGGAGTGAGGGGATGGAGGCAAAAATCCTCTCTTACGGTCTTCCCTGCACAAAGCAAAGGAGAGATGAGACACAACAGCAAAGCCCCAGAAGGCAACGCACTGAGAGTGCCTCCCACCCAAGATGAGGTGGCACCCTTGCACCTTGTTTTAGGAGCAATTTGAAAACCAAGGTCACCCCTTTTTTCATTCCCAGGTTGGGACTTTATCAGTTACAGAGAGAGAGAGCAGTAACCAGACGCATCACCTGAGCCAGCTATGTCGCTGCCCACATTCTGGCCCCCCGGCAGCAAAGGCAGGGAGGCTGCAGGCTGTCCTGCAACAACTCCAGGGAACTATTCCATGATAGAGAACAGTGAAGCAACATTTGGAGAGTCTGGAGGGGAGAGGAGCATGACCAAAGGCTGTGCTCCCCATCCGGCTTATGAGTGTGTCCCGCACAAAGAAAACTGTTCACACTCAATACAGGAGGCCTCAGGGTAAGTGGAAAAGTGAAGGTACACAGGAGAAAGCTCCAGAAACAACTCAATATTCAAGTTAAGGAAGCAAATTCCAGAAAAGTCGGGGTTGGCCTCTGCTCTCCTTCTGACCCAGTTCAGGATCCAGAGCCCAGCATCAGGGGCCACCTGTGCATAGAGACAAGAGGCCGTGGTCAGTCTGCAGAGCCTGGGGCTTGCGTCACATTGGGGGCTCACTAAGCACCTTACAAACATCATGGCCTCACCGTATCCGTTTGCGGAAGGTACCACTAAGGCTCCGTTTTCCTTCAAGGGCATCCCAGAATGGATGGCCTGGCTGAGAAGAAATCCTCTCAGTTCCAGCTCCCAGTGTCCAGGAGCCCCCAGCCCGCCCCCCACCGATATGCTCTTCTGGAGCAGTGCAAAGTTTCTACCACCCAAACTCATAACCCAAAGCCCCCTGATCCCAGGGATGGGAGGAAAGATCAAGGGAAGGGCGTGACACATAAATATCAGACAACAAAATGGACCAGCACAGGAACTTTGTCTCTGGTTCCAGGACTGGCACCGGGGAGTGTGCCTCCCAAGAAACGATCCCTGGGATGAGCATGTTTGCGGCAGACACGGGTCTGGCCATGTCCAGACCCCAGGTGGGAGCTGGATGCCATCAACAGGTGCTGGTTTCTGCCCTTATTTGCATGTTTCCAAAAGGAACAAGGACAGACTCTGTGACCCTCTTGGCTGCCACTCGACTCTGGGTTTCCTGACTCCTTCTCCTTCCCTCACAGTTCGCACTGAGGCAGGTCCCTTCACCCCTGCGAGGCTCAACTAAATCAGGGGGCACCTGGACGCGCAGGCAGCTCACTGCCAGGTCCGTCCACTCCTGCGCCCACGCCTTCGGTCCCCCAGCTGGCACATAAGGGCTGAGGACCCGGAAAAACTCCTATCTCACTTCAACTGAGATTCTGACTCATGGGTGTTGGGGAAGAATGTAGAAGAGGAAGAAAATCACTCAGAGAACCTCCAATCCTGGTGTTTGGGAAGGCGGACGGCAGGGCTAACAAAAGGACTCCAGGACAGGCTCTGGGCTCACCCAGGGGGCCGAGGAGAGGGGGCAGCAGACAGATTTGGCTGAGCGACCCTGCGGGGTCACCCTAAAGGCGAGGAAGAGTGTGGAGGCTGGGGGACATGCACGCACCCCTCCCTCCCCTACACAGCCAGAGCTGATGGCCACAGCCCCTTCTGGTGGACGTGGGCAGAAAGGCCCTGCAGGGCAGGGGACCCTCTCAAGTGGCCCCGCTTCCACCCTTCCATCTTCAAAGTGCATTATCAGTGCAAGAAGTAGGGCTGGATTTCAGGGGGTCCAACTCTGAGAAAGGGCTGTGCCAGCCAGCTCCCCCGATCTCCTCCTGCTTCCCCCTTGGCCGCCCCCCAACCCTTTTCATGCTAAGACCAGAACTCTTGCTGAATCTCATAAGGGGCAGGCCTGTGTGTGTTCAGTTCAGCTCTGCACAGTGGCACAGTGCTGTCCTGACTCTGGCCCTCCGCGTCCAGGTCCAGAAGCGTCCGCTCGGGGGGGGGCAGCGGCCCCGCCTGGAACGGGAGCAAGGCGGGAAGTCCAGGCCGCTCCTCCACAGTGCTGCTGCTGCTAGCAAGGCAGGAGTCCAGGTTGCTGGGCGTCTCCGTGCTGGAGCTGTTGGCTGGGGAGGCGCTGCGGGCGTGGCTGGGGGACACGAACCACCAAGGGTCCAGCCGTTGCCGGTTGGCAGAAGGACGTGGCCGAGGCAAAAACTCCAGGGTCTTGGGTCTCTCCAGGGTGGAGTCCTGCTGTGTGTTCCAGCGCCTTGGGGTTGGGGGAAAGACCACATTGGGGTCAGGGAGACGGGGGAATTCACCTGGGTCTCGGCTGGGGCTGGGGGTTTTCAACATTCCTGGTCAAAGAGACAGAGGGAGAAGCATCAGATGACAGCACCACATTTCTGGGCCAGGTATACACCGCTCCCCCCCACCACCCCAGCTGCCACATCCCTAGTCACTGGGACTAACCCGACTAACAAATGTTTAATGAGAGCCTACTGTGTGCCGTGCAGTGTGCTGGGAGGCAATGGGGATACAGTAGTGAACCAGAAGGCCAGAAGGCCACTGTATCTGATAATAAAAATAGTCACGGGACATACGGAGGTCACATCTGTAATGAAGCAGCTTAAAGCAGAACTATGCCCCACGGGCCACGCTGTGTTGGCAAATAAAGCTTTAGTGTAACACAGCCACACCCATTGCTCGCTCTCCCACTGGGGCAGCAGTGTTGAGTAGTTACAACAGAGACCATGGGACCCACAAAGCCTAAAATATTTACTATCTGGCCCTTTACCAAGAAAGTTCGCTGACCCCTGAGACTCAAGGAAGGGTCTGCTTATTCCCAGTTCATTCAGTGAATAAACATGGGAGGCAGGAGCAAATCTAGGCATCAGAACTCCAAAGATGAGTCATAAGGTCTGCTTCCCAAAGCGGACACACATCTGAGTTCAACAGAAAAAATCTAAAGAGGGGAGGGGCAAGCTGAAAGGGGGAAATACAACTGTTTACTCAAAGATCACTGAACTCTCAGTTGCCACCTGGTCATCTTCTACTGGGTGAGAGGGGCTTCCGAGTAAGACGTAGGTCTCTAGGGAGCAGGGGATGGTGATGGGAATGACCTGGGTTACCTACGGCCAGGTGGCTGGGTGTCAGACAGAGAAGGCAGGCATATGCCGGCCTCAGCAATTTACCTGCATCCCTCTCCACGTCCGGGGAGTCAGCAATGAGTAAGGGACGAGTGACGCGGGGCAGGACGCATAGGAGGAAGCTGGCCTGTGAGTATGACAGGCGCAAGCCCAGCCGCGTGGCACCGAACACCCCTCCTAGTGCAGTGCGGCACTCCTTCCGGAGCGTCGGTCTCCACTTCCGGGAACAAGCGAGCTAGGCCCCTGCCCCACCAGTACCCTGCAGGCACGGCGCGGTGCGCTCCAAGACCCAGAGCCCGAATTTCCCACGGGAGCCCTGGGCCCGAGCCTTCCTAGAAGCTGCCTGTCTCCCCCGACTGAGGCACTCTCCCCACAGAGAGAAGGTAGCCAGCCTGGCCACCTCTCCAACCCCAGGGCAGCATGTCCCGGCGGGCTGAGCCAGAGGAGGAACGGCATCCACTCCAATGCTGCCACTCCTGGCGGAGGCACAAGGGCAGGAAAGAGAAAAGAGGAGGAGGGCAGGACTCACCTGCTCCGGGGCTGGGGCTCAGCCCATTGCTGGAGGGGCTCCTGCTGGCTAGGAGAGCCACTGGCTTGAGCGCCCCATCAGAAGGAGTCCGCCGGTGGCCACTGGGCTGTGTGGGGGCCGTGAGGGTGACGTGGGTAGGAGTCAGGGATTGGTTAGGGTCTCGTTTGAAGCGCTCCACTCGGACGTTGACCAGGGGGTTGTGGGTGCAAGGGCTCAGGGGTGGGGCCTTGACCGGACTGACGGGCATCTCGTACACCACGATCTCATCGCTGTCAGAACGCAGCAGGGAGCGGGTGGAGTTGCACTCGGAGATGGAGGAGAGAGAGAGCAGCGTTAGGGAGGCAGAGGGGTCTCCCAGCAACAGCATGGGCTCCTCCTTCTTGAAGAGCTTCCGGGATGGGGGGCTGGTGCTCCGACGAGGACGGCTGGCCCTCTGGAAAAGACCCTCACGCCTCTTCTTCTCCTCCCGGGCTGGGGGCTCAGACTCCTCCGGGGGAAGCAGCTGGTACTTGCCAGCTTCCAGCAGGTCGAACCCCAGGCCGGTGGCCGCGAGAACGGCCCCACAGCCGAGCAGAGCCACCTCACAACGGCGGTGGTGGCCGCCACCCCGCTTGAGGCTGTTGGTGGGCGTCAGCTGAGGGGTACTGGTGGCTGAGTTGACGGGGGTGGGCTCCTCGTGGACTCCATCACTGCAGGGGCCCTCTCCATCCTCTCCACGAGGGAATGGGATACAGAGGTAGGACTGGTTGGGTGAATGCTGCAGACGACTCTCCCCACTCCTTGGGCCTTCGCTGTCCTCATCCTCTGTGAAGAAGAGAGGAAAGGGGGGGAACAGGAAACGGGAATGAAGCAGCAAGAGCAAGAACCCCGTCCTTCTCCCCGGCCCCGGGCCTCCTGGTGGAGCATCAGGAACGCAGAGTCTCACAGGCGGGATGAGGAACCGGGCAGTGAACCCACAGAGCTTGTCCTCCACACTCAACTGTGACCAACATGAGGAAATCACTCTCCATTCCAGAGCCTCTTTTCCTGTTTTCAGAAAAGGAAATCTGCTACTTTTCTACTTCGTTCATTAGGATCCTCAACACAAGAGGTACAGTGTGAGTTTCCTAGAATAGTGGGTAGAACAGAAACATTCCTAACTTTTTTGCACCTTAAAAGTGGAAGGGACCTTGAATTTCTAGGATGGCCTAGAGCCCCCTCTTAAGAGCAATGGATTGGAATCCCCTCCACAGGTGAAGGTGCATCTACTCTATAAACCTACCTACTACGACCCTGGAAACCTTCAGAGAGAAGAGGACTTACTATCTGAGGGAGAGCCTGGAGGAGGCCTTACCCATTCAGCAGGCACAGGCAAGTGGAAAGCTTCCTCGGACAAAGGAAGAAACCATCTCCTGTTTTGCAGACTCCCCACATTAAGATACAAAGGAAAGTGACCCAGCAAAGGAAAATGCCTGATTCAAGGCCTCACCCTCTGCACTGCCCTCAGGAGACTATACCTGACTCCCTGGGACAGGAGGCCAAGGGCAGGCCCCATGGCAGCAGTAGGAAGAAACTGTGATTTGGGAAGGTTCGATGAAATGGGAGTAGAGCAAGCGAAGAAGGAACTGGGTGGGGGCCCAGGAGTTGGGTAAAAGAGGAGACGACCCCCATGAAGTGGCACTAGGGGTCCTCAAACAGTCCCAGAAGGTTGGCCGAAATTTCCCTGAGGAAACAGGGACAGTCAGGACAAAGGCAATGCTCACCCATCTCCATAAGGCTGGTGAACCCTGGCAGGGCTGGGCTACTCCTCGGGCCCTTCCCCAGATTGGGGGCACTGGACGACCACTGTTTGTATCCATCTACCAGGGACTTGAGGCTAAATGGGAGGAAACGAGGAAACTGTGAGAACTGGTTACTTCCCTTACTCCACTCTCACCTCCACGGGCCTGTGTAAAAGTCTCTCCCTGTGAGCTTAATTCCACCAAAGCCCAAGAACCTTGGGGTACAGGCAACAAACATAACTGAGTCCCCTCGCATCACAAACAGAAGTGCACATGCTCTAGGAAAAGAAAAGCAGGGCCATGAACCCACCCCTTCCCATGCTGTTATGGAGCCAGGGAAAGACCTAGCAGGCAGGCTGGCAAGAGGGCAGGGAGAAAGAGGGCTGCCCAGCACTGGCCCCGGTCTTGCCCGAGCCCATCTTCCACAAGGGGCCATCACTCCGGGACACTGTCTACAGCACAGTGTTGACATCAGGGGACACCACAATGCCAGGCAAGCCCCGGGCAGATGAGCTAGCAGACACGGACGGGCCAGGTTACTCCACTCAGACCCTTTCTCCACTCCTGTCTAGCTTATGGCATGCTTAGGCAACTTTCAAAGCCAGCCACTTTTTTTTTTTTTTTTTTTTTTTTTTGCCAGCCACTTTTTAAAAACAAAAACCAGGGCGCCTGGGTGGCTCAGTCGTTAAGCGTCTGCCTTCGGCTCAGGTCATGATCCCAGGGTCCTGGGATCGAGTCCCGCATCGGGCTCCCCGCTCCACGGGAGGCCTGCTTCTCCCTCTGCCACTCCCCCTGCTTGTGTTCCTGCTCTCGCTATCTCTCTCTGTCAAATAAATAAAATCTTTAAAAAAAATAATAATAAAAAATAAAAATAAAAACAAAAACCAGCCAACAAAGCTGCACCAACCCAGTGCAGACAGACCTATGGGACAGACCTATGTGGGGAGTACATAATACTGTACTCGAGCCCCTGGTCTGTCTGGGAACGGAGAGGAAAAGGGCAAGAGCTTGCTTTCAAATCCCTGTGATGAGCTCAGACTCACAAGCCAGTAACTCTGAGGATCCTGACGGGGTACCCCACCAATCCCCTCATACGATGGGGGAATCAGAGGCCCAGAAGCACTGGGCTTTTCTCTAACGGACAATAAAGAGGGAAGACTGAGGAAATCTCTGGGTTATCGCTGCCTTGGAAATACCAGGATTATAATCAGAGGTGGCTCTCATTTTAGGGCCAGAAAAAGCTATTCAAATAAAGCCCACTCTTCCGAGTCCGTCCTGAGGGAGAGAGAAGGACCAATGGGTTCCCCTCATTTCAGACCTCTGTTTCAAGTGCTATCAGAAATACCAGCAAATTCAAGTACATTCCAGCCACCAGTGGTTTCCACCAAAATACACAGCCAGAGATAAGCATGCTGCTACACCCACAGCCTGGGACTTCTAACTGATAATCTTCTAACATCACCTCCAGCTCTGGGTTCAAGGGAATCCAGATTAGCAAAGTCAAAGCCAGTGCTAAAGATGAAAGGATAAATAGCCTTGTGTTGTCGCCCTATAACTAGGGGTACCAGGAGAATCCCAACAACAGGAGTGGTCAGGGAAGGGAGAAAGGGGAAAGTGCAGACCAACACAGGAAGCTCCCAGCGTGCACGAGGGTACCGCTTTAAAGAAAAAAAGTCAGCACAGCCTTGGCAATAATGACGCTCAATTCTACGGGGTGTGCCGTGAGAACAAGGAAATGGAAGGGGGACTGTTATGAACACATGTGATGGAAGGGTGATGATTAGACTCACCCCAGGTGGAAATGTGGAGATTCTGATGGGGTACTTAAACCATTAGCTTTCTCACGTCTCTGAGGGGATCTTCAATGAATAAAGAAAATCAGTAGTAGGTGACAGTGGGTACATCCAACTCAGCCTCTCCCACATGGGAGCCCTCAAGGCTGGACTCCAGCCATGTGGCCAGCTGCCTTCCTCTTGCCCGGTCAGCACAACCCGCACCATGCAGGAATCTTAACGAGGTGGCCGTGCCTGAGCTGCCACAGGCCCAGGACCTCCCAATCCGTGGGACAAAGGTCCCCAAGCCACCACAGCATAACTGCAGAGACCATGTGAATCCACAGATACCCAAGCTGTCTACGAGCAAGTACATGTTTCCTATAAGATAAATACTATTTTTTAAAAGGATGGAGATGCACATTCACTTAACATTACTGAATTCAATATAGCTTTTTATTGTTACACATTTTCTTCTGTTAATAGGGACTAAAGCTAGAAATATTGTCACACAGAGACTCTCAAAAATTTCTGCCATTAAAGAGGTCTTTACTCAAGAATGAATGGAATATATTTTATTTCTTGAATAGGAATTGAGAATCATAAAAAATTAAGTCATATTTTGAACTGTTTCAACAGTTTTGAGGACAAGTCTATGCAACGGGGAAGAAAATGCCAAAATTAGTATTTTGGAATGTGAAATAAAGTTAATTTACTAGCAAGACAAAAAATATCTATAAATGAAACAGAACTAGAGAAACTACTGGGATCCACAGCCTACCTGGTAAATCCTATCAGGAATCACACGAACGTCAGAAATACCAAGGGATTCAGGGTGACTGAGTTTCTCAGACCCACCTCAACCCTACTTGACCCCAGGGCTCAAGGGAAATCAAACTGAGCAGCTCTTGCCTCTCCAGAACCTTCTACAGCAGAGCAATTTACCATTCCTAGAGGACTCAGTCACGGAACTCTTACGGAGCTTAGGCAGTCGACCCTACATACCTAATCTTCCCTTCCTTCCTTCCTTTTCCTTCTCCTTTTCATTCTTTTTCTTTCTCTCTCTTTCCTTCTTTGTCTTTCTCTCTCTTCCTTCCTTCCTTCCTTTTCCCTATTCCAAGGCATCTAGTGATTTCTAAAGCCTGGCTTCAAAGAGTCAATCCTGTATGCACCAAATTGATATTTTCACCTTTCGCTCAGATCTGACATGAGAAAACAGATTTGGGACCTGAAATCTTAGGATTCAAAGGAATACCAGAGCCAGGTCCAGGTCCAGGCACAAGCTCAGAAAAGTCACAAAAAGGGAGAAGGGGGTTGCTGCTTCTTCGCACACTTAGAAAAGTCAAGAAAGGGGATTCTAGATTCTAACGCCAAGAATAAGAACGGCAAACCACTACGCTCATTCTTCAGGGGTGAAACAGAAATTGCATGAGAAGCACAGAAGAACCATCACGGCAGATATTTACACAGGCTCACTACGAGCCAGCTAATCTTGCCAGCACTTCCCAAAGAGGAACTTGTTTAATCCTTGCATCAATTCCATGAGGTGGGTGCTGGCATAACCCCCGTTTTACAGACGAGAAAACATAAGGCCACATGGCGAGGCAGGCTGGGGTCAGCGGTGACGCTCGCCACTGTTTAACTCACTATGAGGGACTGGCCGCCGAAGAACTGGGACTTGAGAGAATTTAACTTGGAAGCCACAGGAAGAACACAAGCACATCCAAGACACAAAGCTGGGTCTTGTGCTTTGCCCAGAGGGCGTGCTCACACCTGTCAGGGTGGCTATGAGGTGAGGCCTAAAAGAAGTTCTAGTGGGCCCGTGATGTCATGAGCACAGGGTGTTATAGAAAACTGATGCATCACTGAACTCTACCCTCTGAAACTGTTAATTAATTAGATTTAAATAAATTTAAAAAAAGAAGAAGAAGAAGAAGAAGACGTTCTGGTGGCCTTGGAGTTAACATCTGAGTGCACTGACTACCAGGGCTGGATTATTCTGTCCGCAGTGTCGGGATAAGTCTCCAAGTCAAGGGAGTCCTGGAGGCCCTGCTCTTCCTTCTCTTGGCTCTGAGCGGATGATTGAAGGGGAAGAGCCAGACAGAAGTAGAACATCTGGTAGAACTCTTCACATTCGGTTACTGCTCAGTTTACTTGCTGCTCTGAGTCAGACGCCTCCAGGGGTCAGCAAACTCTACCTGGAGGGCTAACTCCTGTCCACCGCCTGTTTACAAAGTTTTACTGAGTAAACACAGGCATGCGCCTTCATTTATGTATGGCCCGTGGTCTGCTGCTTTGGTACTGTAACACAGGAGCGGAGGAACTGCAAAAGAGATTATAGGACCCTCAAAGCCTAAAATATTTACTGTCTGGCCCTTTACACAAAAAGTATGCTGAGCCCCGTCCTAGGGGAGGTTCTAGGGAGCAAGGAGATTGGAAAACCGTTGGAAAGAGCAAGAGGCTTGTAATTTCTCAGAAAGCAACGGGACACACAACAGAGAAAAAGTATTTCACATCACAGTTTTAAAAGGAATACCCATCTTTAAGCAGAAAGAATCTCGCGCATTCTGGCTCTTACCCTTCATCTCCCGAGGCGAGCTCCTTCTGACCAAGCGTACTTGGCCCCCACGTCCGTCCTTTCTTCTTCGGGGCCCTCTTCTCCTCCTCCTCCCCTTCCTCTTTCGGGATGACTGAGCTCCGGCCCCAGGTTTTGCTGTTTTCACCTGGTGTCACTGTGAATAACAAAAGTTGGATGGGACCTGGAAAAAAGATAGGCAGGGTCCCCCCAAAACTAGCCTCTACCTCACCAGACAGACACAGACATACACACACACACACACACACGGAGTCACAGGGAAGAAGTCACACCTCCTCGAAAACTCTATGCCCGAGTGGAGCCTTCAAGTCCTTAGGCACCAATCACTGAGCACTCTCAAAGTCCCAAACATGGAGAAACGTCCCAGATTCTCCTAAGTCCAATGCAAAGCTGGAGCTCAGGCCAGCCAGACAGCAGAGTTCCAAACAGATCTGACTTAAGGAACTTGTTTTGTTGGGTGGAACTGGACCGGGAGTGGGTGGGGAAGGAGGTAGGTAGGAGAGAAAAAAACATAACGGGGTAAGGAAGACTTGGAAGTGCAGAAAAGAATTTTGGTAAGAAAGGAAGACAATGAGGAGCTCAAGACTATGGAGCAGTTGGTGAGGAGGAGGAGGAGGGGAAGGAACAGGCCTAGAGAAGTACAACGGGTAAGAGGAACGTTCTTCGGCCACTGCTACCTTACAGCAAAAGTTGAAACCCAAATGCTTCAGAGACTAGGCTTACATCATAAGTGACCGGATGGTTTCAGACACCAAAAAACAGGAGCTGAGGGGACTGAGGCAAAATACAGAGCGTATGGAAGCCACCATTGCTTCCAGTCAACTGTGGCCACATGAAAAAGGGGAATCCACAGATATGAATGGATTTTCCAAGGACAGCCAGCTAGGGTTTGTTTTAGTTTTTGTTTTTAAGTGAAATCTCTATCTTTAAGTTAGGGAAACGACTCCATTCATACACACACGTGTGTGTGTAAATTCTTTTTAATAAACACCGTGGTAAAAATAAAATTGGTCCAGACTTGGCCAATCACAAAGTATTTGGCAAGTTCCCTTAGGACCTACACTTTGAAAACACCCTTCCCTGGGAAGCATGAACAAAAGAAAAACAACGATGCCCCAAATATGGCAGAGCACACACAAGGTCCCCAGGCGAGGGTACCAACCAACTCAGGCCAGGTACCAGGCTATCTATCTCACACACCAGTTTCCGAATTGCTTTGTGGTTCACGAAAGATCCCGTCAATACCCACAAACCCCTCTGCTGGTCTCTAAGAGGAAAAGTAGGGGGGGCAGTAGTATAAAGCTAATGGAAAGAGACAAGAAGGAGGGCTAAGGGTTTGCGTACATATGTGCATGTATATACACATTGCCGAGGAGAGGTGGCAGAAGTTATGGATGGAGCAAGCCTGGGCCAGTCGGTGGCTGGACAGAGCAGGGGACAGATGCCCCTGGTGTGTTCTGGCCCCAACTAATTTGGGAAACAGTCTCACACTGGATGGCTCGAAGGCGAGGAATGATGGTGGGGCTCGCAGGAGGACTGGAGCGGCTGTTGATGAGACTCTTCCTTTTATCCATGGTTGGGGAGGCCTGAACCGTGAACTTGTGCTGGAAATCTGCTTGGGGAAAGACAGACATGTGTGTGCATTAGAATTTTCCCATAACCCAGGTCCTGTGAGAAAAGTGGTATGTCCTGGCAGGCTTGAGGGACAGGCCCTTGTTTCCTAAGAAGCGACTTGTTCACCTGGGAAATGTTCTTTTTCAGAATCATCTCTTTCTCCACAAAGATGGCAGGACAGCAAGATGAACGTATGAGGAGAAGGAAAATTCACTCTCCAAGTCAACCTCATCTACAGTGTACATAGGTGTAGTAATTATAGATTTACAATAGTTTTCTTAAGATCATGAGACTTGCTGATTATTCTAGGAAATCTAACTTACAATTCTGTTTCTTACAATCTATTAGGACAGGCCCCCTTTTCTCATGGACCAAAGCAGGGGCACGGATGCTTCTCACTAAGGGCAGGCAGAGCAGAGTAATAATGACTAATCCTTGGTGGGAACCTAGGGAAGTGAGCACATGGGGCTAATGGTCCAAACTGTTTTCCAAAGACAGTTACAGCACAGCATAAAGAAGGTAAACCTTATAGCCCTGGATTTCTAAGTCCCAGTGTCCTCATCTATCAAGAGGTGTAATAAACAGCTGAGTGTCTGCCCGTAGGTCCCCTGACTAGACGTGATCTCCCTGAAGGAGGGAGCTACTGTTTCCTTCTGAGCTTCCCCAGCTCACAGGAGCTTGCCACCACGCGTGACATGCTCAAGAGGGGCTCACAGACTCTGTGTTGCCTGGCCAGAAAAATGTGCAACAAGGACACTGGTAAACATGTCCCACAAATTCATCCACTGAATTTCACTGAATGAATTCCCTTGTCTGTCCTGAAGCCATTATCCCGGTGCTTAAAATCCTCCACTACTGTCCCTATGATGTTATTTTCCCTTGGTGTCCTTACAGCCCTACTGAGTTTGCTTCCCAGGACCTTATATAGGCTTAGAATACAATAAACACACACTTGAGCACTCACCTCCCCGTAAAGATTCTAATTCATAGTTTCTTATTACTCTGCATTTTCCCAAGGCTGAATATCCTACAAATGTACCTTTATTCACCCAACATGCTTCTGAAAGGTTGTATACAAATCAAATTCCTACCCGTGAATCCTAATCTCAACTGCAGGCAGAAACTAGTTATTTAGAGAAACCCTGAGATGAGCTATTCTGCAAAGCCCTGAGTTCTCCATGTGAGCCACCATGCTGCTAGCAGTCTGGACCGTGCCTGCCCGTCAGGTTCACCCATCACCAGTTTGTCTTCCTTCCCGGTCTGTGTTTAGTCACACTCAACAACTCCCCCAGAGCAGGGTAGCTTTGCCATGGGCCAGTCTTCCCCCCTGAATGGAACGGCCCACTTCGACCCAGCCCCGTTCAGAGACCCAGAGCCTCCTGCCTCCCAGCCCGTCCCGGATTCCCCCAGGTCCCTGGCCACAGAGCCTGCCACCATGCCCCCCTCACCTCCCAGCAGGTCCCCGGCACTGACCAGAAGGGAGGCTGATGCGGTTCCCATCCTTGAGCTTCAGCCGGCTCTTCCTAAACTTGCCCTTGCGTTTCTTCACCCGGGGCTTCTCCTGGCACAGCTGGTGGATGATGATGTTGAGCTCCCGCTCCAGGATGTCGATCTCCCGCTCGGCCAGTTCCTGCTCGCGGCGCCGCAGCAGCTCCTCCTGGGTCTTCTGCTGGAGCGCGGCCCGCGTCAGCTCCTCCTCCCAGGTGCGGAGCTCCTGCAGGGGCAGAAGCATGGCAGCAAAGAGCGGGTGCTCAGTGCAGGCAGGGAGGCTGAGGGCCCTTGAGGGCCACACCTCCAAACCCTTAGTCCCAGGCGGAGGCGCTGGTAAAAGGAATCCCTGACCACCCTGGAGGCTGGATGCCGGGCAGGGGCAGGCTCAACCCAGCCACACTGAGGACATAGGTATGGCAGCCCTGGAGACAGAGGCTGAGAGCTCCTAGTTGCTCCTTGATTACGGATCACGACTGCCTGTGACTGGAAAATATAGGGGTTTGGGCAGAAAATATCATCATGTACTTAAATTTTACAGACTTGGTTATATTTTCATTTTTTCCCACCATATAAAGGATGTTTTTTAAACCAGAGTCAACTCGACGCGACCTAGCTTAAAATGTGCCCACTATAAATGAATCACCCTCAATTGCCTAACATTCAAATAAAAATGTATTTCCTGAGCGATTGTTCAAAAGCTGGTGAGGCATGTCTTCTAAACCTCTATTCAGTTGGTGAGTGAATCCACGAAAGCATGTGGTTTGAACTCTCATCTTGAAGGACAACCATGTGCTCTGGAAGGTTCGTGACAGCACAGCAAAGAGAAGAGAAAACATTTCCCAAAGTCTCTGCCAGGCGCTGCTCTAGGACCGCTGCTGTATTAGACGAGCAGAACCTCTTCCCTGCCTCCCCTTTTCCCTTCTGCATGGATTTATATATGTACACCGGCACGGAGCTCCTGAGGTGAGGCGGGGGGGTGGGGGGAGGCATATGGAATCAAGAAACGGGAGAGCAAACAGGAAGGAGAACTGAATATGTGCGTACAATTGTCAACTCTGGAATCTGAACTGTTAGTGCTGCTTACCCAGGACGTAAGACTGATGTGGGGTGGGATGAAGCGCTAAAACTTAAAAGTGGGGCATTTCTTCAATAAAGCAGCCAGAGCAACACTTCTGCGGCCGAAACTTAGAATTTCTCCATGGAATGCTCCACTGTAAGAAGTCATTCTGCACTATAGCAAAACACTGTAGAAAGGGAGCCGAGAGCTAAGAAAAAGTATGTGAGCACATACTGGGGAAGCTGAGCAATGGGTAGAGAACAGAGATAAGAGGGGAATGAATATTCTGATGTTAGGAACTTTTCATTCAACTTGCCCTCCATTCTCAAGACAGTATCAAAATTGATAATAAAAATAAATTGATAATAAAAATGATAGAAAGGCAGAGAAGTGAGAAAAGGACTAGCACCTTGAAAACTGTCTTTGGAGGCACCTGGGTGGCTCAGCTTGTTAAGTGTCTGACTCTTGGTTTCAGCTTGGGTTACGATCTCAGGGTTGTGAGATGGAGCCCCACGTCAGACTCTGTGCCGTGGAGCCTGCTTGGGATTCTGTCTCTCCCTTTCCCTCTGCCACCCCACCCTATCTCTCCCTCTCAAAAAAAAAAAAAAAGAAAAGAAAATTGTCTTGTACGTGATGGGTGCTCAGTGTCAATGAATGAATGAACGAGAAAGAAGGAAGGGAAGACAGAATTCAATTTTATAAATGCAATCCTTTATGGGAACCCAGATTCATCATAAGTGTCTGAGAGATGAGCCTGAACTTCTGAACTTCTCCTTCTTCAATGAAATAAGCCCCAAACAGATTCACTGTTGTATGCCCCACACCCCCACCCCCAAAGCCTTGGCTCTCCTTGTCCCACTACTTTGTTTTCACCATCAGGAGAAGAAAAACATGGAAGATTCAGAAAAATCATTCTTGGCTGGTTGATTCTGCTGCTAGATGGGAAAGTTAAAAAGTTCAAGCTAATTTCAGCCTTCCTAAGTCTTCTTCTCCTACCTGCTCTTATCTAGGGGATGGTTTGTGTTGTAAGCCCCTTCCTTTGAAGGAACTCAGACCCCAGTCCAGAGACAAATCCATCATCACTATACCTGGAAGTGGTAAATTGAGACAAGCTGAGAATGAGCTGAATCATATGGGAAACAAGGACATTTATGGAGTACTCGCCAATGGCACCATATATCGGCAAGACTCTCAAACATGGTGAGTCTCCTCCTTGTGAAACACCATTTGGGGATCAGCCTCCTACTATGCAGATCATATCATCTGCATACAATGATTTAAAAGGCATCTCCCCAGAGAGAAAGCTCATTATCCATCCCTCATCCTCACTTCCCCAACTAGGAGTCTTATAATGGACAGACATCATAGCACAATGGTTAAGAGCAAGGATTCTGGAACACACTGCCTGAATCGTGGCCTGAGGCGAGTTACCAGGGGCATTATACGTAACATGGAGTTAACCGCACTGACATCACAGTTTTTTACTTAAGACAGTTATTATCTTATTATGTAAGATTATATAAGAATTCATATAAATCACTTTATAACAGAGCATGGCACATAGTACATGCTCTATAAATGTTAGCTGTTATGAAAATGGGTCTGGCTTCTCCTACTAACTACCCACAACAAAATCCAACTTTCATTTTTCTTACTGGAGGGTACCCTTGTAATTTCATCAATCAAAAGAAAGAAAACCAAGAATCAAGTGATTCAACAATCTAAAGGGCCAGCAACTCTGGGTTTCTTCTAGTTGGAATAGCATTAGTAACAGGAGTACCCTCTTTTTTATTTATTTACTCACCGAAAGAGAGAGCATGAGCAGGGGGAGGGGCAGAGGGAGAGGGACAAGCAGACTCCCTGCTGAGTGGGGAGCCCGCCATGGGGCTCGATCCCAGGATCCTGAAATCATGACCTGTGCCAAAGTCAGATTCTTAACTGACTGAGCCACCCAGGCGCCCAAGAAACACCCTCTTTCAATCATTCTGCCCAGTGGTCAGTGCTGGTCCCTTCCCCCCACCCAGGTCCTAAAAGATGTGTCATAAGCTCACTCCATTCCCCTGCAGAACACTCATTGACCTGCCAAACAGTACCAGGTTTAGGATTGCTATGTGGCATAAAAAGAGGTTTATCTCTTCAAATCAGCTCCAGAAATGATTTTTAAGTCATTTGTTTAGGCAAACAATATTGGAGAGAAGATGTGGTTAGAATCAGAAGACCCAGGTTGAAGATTCTGTTTTCCCACATACTGGCTGTGTGACAAGTCACTGACTCTTCACCCTGAGATGAGACAGACAGTAACACCTGCCCTACATGCTGGGGGCAGGGGCCATGAGACTCCTGGCTAAAAAGGACGAAAGGTTCTTTCCATCATCACATCTTTTAAGGGAAAGAACTGGGAAGCCATAAAGATGCACAAGTTCAGCTGCTGTTATCAGGTTGCTTCCCAAATGCCCCGAGTGGGCAATGAGGAGGGAAAAAAGAAATTAACCAAGAGACACATGGACGTTGCTCGTGCCCCTAGCTGTAGCCCTTAGAGCCAGCCTACTAGCCCCTGCACTAGAAGCCACGTAAGTGCTCGTGATCAGCTTCCCCTCTGTGGACATGGACTGCTCACCAGACGCCAAGGGCCCAGAGAGGAGCCACGTAAGGAATGGCCACCAAAACGAAAGGCAGATCTCTAGTAAGCTAAGAATATGTGAACTCCTCAGTCAGTTCGGGGTTGAGCCTTTTTCACAAAAACATGCAAAATACCATATAATTTCAGAACCATAGTATTTTTAGCCCATCTGCTGTTTCTGACTCTGATACCAAAGATAGTGGCAGGATGTGCTGATTGATAACTGTGCTCAGTGTTGAAGAATCTCTATCTTAAGTTAACCCCCACTCTGGAAGTCCACTACGGAGCCAAGAAACGTTTCTAGAACCCTCTCATATTTTCTGCTGATACCTGCCCAGTGGTGCTTTTCCTCTGGTTTGGACAGTGAAGTAGATACTGTGTGGAGAACTTTGGACTCATGACACCCCTACTTTTCCTCCCAAATCCCAGAAAGAAATAAAACGTCTCTACTACCTCAGGTCACATCTGAGGCCTGGAGAACTCTCTCCATGTAAAGTCGGGAAGAAAACGCTGCTCTGTTTACCTCAAACTAAGCAGGCAGGTGGTTGTGTCAGAATCTGTCCAGAGGCCCCAGTGGGGAAGGCCCACTGATTCAACACACACCTTTTTCTTGTTTTATTTACCTTTTCTTTGGCCCTGAGTTGGTCAAACATCTCCTGAATCTCATGTTTCCAGTCATCCTGCAGGCAGTGGAAGGAGTCCTTGGGCATCTCAAAGAAGCCAGACTCCTCTATGGTAGTTAGCTGGTCCAGGATATTTGTGAAAGATGGTCGTGAATGAGGGTCAGGATTCCAGCAGTCTGCATGGAACACGGGAGTAGACAGAAAGCATGAATGGACAGAGACAAGCACAAGAGAATATTACGTGACCTCATTTACCAGAAAAGTGCCTCTCATTTTTCCTTCCAGAAACAGAAACATGGGAATTTTGGCAATCACACATAGGGCTGGGGAAGTAAAGCAAGCTGCCCAAGCTCACGATCATACAGAGTCAATGTGGAAACAGAATGCAGCAGTTCTACCCCCATCCGACTCGGCCTGCTGATTTAGCATCAGAAAAGCAAGTCCAAAGAGTTGCTGGCGTGAGGCTCAACAACCAGGATTTATTATGTTCCTACACGAGTCCAGTCCTGACAGTGGGTTAACTAGACTTCGGACCTCAATTTCCCACAAATAAATGAGCCAGCCTTCCCCACCTCAATGGGATGATGATAAGGCAAAAATAAAAAGGACTGGACTGGGTGTCGGGAAAAGTGAACTCTACCTATTCTCAGCTCCCACGCTAGCTAATGCAGTGTACTTTGCCTCTCTCAGCTTTGGATTTCTCACTCAGGGAATTACAGGGTTTGCCCAGATGACTTCTAGAGTTCCTTTCTTCTTGGATGTTCTTCGTTTCTAGATGTAATACACTCAGAGGTCCTGAAAATAAAAGCTGCTATGTCTTCTCATTTTGTATTAAATAATAAAACACTGAAGTGCTGGATAGTGGGTTTTAGTTACTAAGTTGAGCTCTACAGTCCCTTGAGATGGACAGAAGGAGCACCTGTGCCATCAACGTAGCAGGTGCTGACATCATCTGAAAGTAGCTCTTCCACTCACCCACAGGATTCCTCCTTGACTGACTTGTACTTCATCTCCTCTCTCCGTAACTGACTCAGCAGAATTGTCTGACATCTACCCAAGTGCTACTCAGAAGGCAAACCCTCCAATTTTGTTCCAGTCAGGGGTCACTTACCTTCCATGAGTTTGGCAAAAGGTTCTGGGCACGTAGAAGGAATGGGAAGGGCGAGCTTGTTCATGGCCACTCCATAAGCCACGGCTAAGCCATCGATTCCTCGGAAGGGCACCTCACCAGTCAGGAGCTCCCAAAGCAGCACCCCATAGCTGAGGAGAGGAAGAAGACAGAAGCAGTCTCAGATTGCGACAGGTGCAATCTCACCGACAGGGCTCAAGAGGCCTTTCTGAGCTAGCCACACTCTTGCTGGCATGGAGGGAGACCAACACAGCAGACGTACCAGTGGGACATTGACAGGACACCAGGAGGTCTACCCACTAAAAGCAAAAGCTCCGGAGTCGGGCACACGTAGTTTCAAAGTCTTGTTCCTCAAACTCCTCATCTACAGAGTGCGAATAACAACTCTGGGCTCACCAGGATGCCGTGAGTCTCACCGAGCTACTCTAAGGGTTTAAATCAGCGCTCACCAGCCATAGCAATTCTGTTGTTGTTATTGCTAATGTAATACTCTGGAAGAAGAGGCCGCCTCCCAAGAATACATTTTTTTCCTGTTTTAAGAAAACTTCAGCTTTCGTCACAGATACATTTTTTCAGCTTTAGAAAAGCAGAGAGCTGACTACTTTCAACAAATGGATTTTGCTCTTGTAACAGGTTTCTTTAAATGCCCACTAGGTTGGATAGATTCCCACCCCTGATCAGTTAACAGAGACCTGTGTGTAATTCAAAGGGGAAAGTCACACAAGGGGTGGCCTACATGGGAAGAGCAGAGCAGTGGGTCAGCTGTGAGGACCTCAGTTTCCTCCCAACCTTTCAAATCCACATGAAGAATTTCCTTTCACATGTCCTGTGAGTCAGAGAATGGGGAGTACTAAGCTTAGAATAATTATTCTATGAATTCACAATCAGAAGAAGGCAAAATCATGTAGTGTTCAATCCTTCCAGGAGCAACAATCCTCCCAGGACAAGCAACCATAACGCCACGAACAGTTTGAAGAGTGGCTCTCCTTGTATTTTCAACACAAACCTCAAATTTTTAAAAAACACTCATCAGTAGTTTACAACCAACAAAGTCATGTTATTTTAAAACAACACATGGCTCAGCTGGTACAGCAGGTGACTCTTGATGTTGGGCACAGAGATTACTTAATTAAAAAAAAAAAGTAAGCCCAATATCTATTTCATCATGGTACTTTGTATGCACAAAGTGCTAAGACATTTATAACATCATCTTGAATCCCTACCATGAACCTGCAAGATAAATATCACCATTCTGCAGATGACGAAAGCAAGTTTCAGGAAGTTTAGGGCATACATGGAATAAATCATTGTGGACCCTGGACCAAATCTCAATTCCTTCTCTCTAGGATCCCCTTCTACCATTTCTCTATTAGTAAACTCTAATCGTCTTTCAAGATCAAATTCAAATGCACCATCATGTATTCATTCATTTTACACATCTACTAAAGATTTACTATGCATCAAGCTCAATGTCGGGCACTGGGATGCAGGGTACAGATTTTGTCCACAAAGACACTAATGAGAGGAACAGAAAAGACGTCAATTAGGACACAGAGATGAGTCACAAGAGAGATACCATGAGTGTACAAAGAGATCCGATAGGCTCCTGGCCACACCAGGGTAAAGGCAGGAGACAGCTAAACCCTGACTGCTAGGTAAAGGAAGACAGAGATCCAGAGACGGGTCAGCATGTACAAGACATGCCTTGCCCTCAAAGAATCCTAAGTGGCCTGGCATGGCTCCAAAGAAGAGCAACAGGCCAACCAATGCACCAGGGCATCCCAGAAGATCCCTACAAATGGCCCCCCAGAGTGGCCTGGCCAGTCTCCTTGGACAATGGCTTTCTCTTGGTGAGTGCTCCAAATACCATCACTTTCTTTACGTATCTCAACAACCAAAAAAAAAAAAAAGACTGGTAGACAGCTGCAGGTCTTGTCTTGACAGGGAGCTGGATTTGTCTGAGGCTGATGGCAACCATGTTGGACACTTTAGGAAGCCTTCCCTGACACTCCCAGGTGTTCCTTAACCCTTGTCTGGGCTGCCATGTATAGCGGTTATTTGTTTGCCAGCCCACGGGCTCTTCAAGGGCAGGGATAGTAGTTTAATCTTTGCATGCTCAGAGCCTTGTACACAGGAGACACTCATATAGTAAATGAGTTGATGGGTGGGTGTGGGAAAAAGTGCATGGTCAGACGGTCCTGCAGGCTGCACTGCATGCCCTAGAGTAAGCCCCGAACACCAAGAATTGCACTGTTATTCTTCAGCCAAACCTTTACCGTGACTTGTCCAGACAACGGTGGTGCTGGGCAGCTGCTACCAAGTGACTTCTAAGAACTCTCAGCACTGCCGACGAGATTCCTAGCTTACAATGACTCTCATCTTCAGTTGTCTGCTCCTGGCATTCCTGCCAACCTCCACTCTGGGCAATAAAAACCCAAGGTCCCAAAGAACCCCTCTCTTCTGTCTAGGCGAAGATGATGGGTGTCTGAGCCCTAACTACCTGGAAAGACAGCAGAGTGTTTCAAAGATCTAAACATGTGTCCTGTTTGTGTCCTTGCATCAGCTCTGCCCATGATTTCCATGGATAAGTCTCAGGCCACCTGGAAGAGGGAGGAGCCAGGGGCTCCACCCCTCTCAGTTTCCAGGAGGGCAGCTCTGCTCTTACCTGGCTTCTTTCTTTATTCATCTGCATTTCATTCCATTTGAAAGACCCCACAACTAAGAGAAGCCGGTGGAATGCTACTCAAGAAAGATTCAGACAGACTTGAGTCAAATATCTGCTTTACCGCTCACGGCAGGTGGTGTGGCCCTGGGAAAGGAAGCTCCTCGGTTTTTCTCACCTGCGCAACAAAGACAGCACTTCTACCTCATAGAATAACGGCAAGGGATAAATAACACGGCTACTTCTCCAGAAGCTTCCACGTACGGCTAGTGAACGCTGTGTGTTTCCCCTTGGGAAGGGCCCGAAACAAGAAAGCCTCTGGTGGGATTTGGGGAAAGCCCGCCGTGTCTTAGCCCGCTGAGAGTCTTGCTGAGGGACACCAGCGTTCAGGCAAGAAGCCTTTCTGGGAATGAGTGGACCAGTTAGGTTTCCTCTGCTAACGTTCATCTTTATTTCTGTAACCGAAGGTGGTAATGTAAGTGAAGCCTTGGCGTTCCTTTGGCAGGAATACAGCCCAAGAAAGGAACTAACGAATTACACATTGGATGGGTCTGAGCCCCAGGGAGAGGTGGGCAGAACCAGTCCACGTGATTTACCTCAGGTTTAACTTACTCTGATACCCTCCCGGGATGGAGAGAAGATCAAGAGGCCCTTCCAAGACCGGGTACAAGCAACCTGGAAGTACCAGCTCAGCTGAGACTCTGCCTCAGCCCCTCCCCCAGCAGACAGCCCCCAGCTTCCACAGTGCTGTCAGTGATTTCCCAGGAGTCCTTGCAGCCTTGCCCCAAACCCTGCGGAATGCACCCTGGGTCAGTAATTAACCACCTCCAGGGCTATGGAAATCCTTCCCACTGTGTGGTGGGTCACAGGTCGGTGAGGGGTGTTCTATGGCTGCAGAGTGAGGAAAAGCATCAGAGTGGATAGCGGCCCAACCAAAGGCACAGTAAACCCACACCTGAGCTGGACTGGGACGATTTTTCTTATTAACCTACCCTGTCTCCAAGACACACCCTGAAAGGAGAAGGTGTCCCTCGAATGGGCTTCTGCACTTGGTAATCAGCTGTGACCCCACATTCCAGAAACCACACTGTTTAGTAATCTTTGGCAAAGGCGCACCTGGGTGGTGCAGCTGGTTAGGCATCTGACTCCTGATTTTGGCTCCTGAGATGGAGCCCCAAGTTGGGCTCCATGCTCAGCATGGAGTCTGCTTAAGACTCTCTCTCGTCATCTCCCTCTGCCCCTCCCCTCTGCTCGCTCTCTCTTTCTCTAAAATAAATAAATCTTTAAAAAAATATCTTTGGCAAAGATGGTGAACTACCACATGAGAAAGCACTCTAAATTGTAAAGTAACATAAAGCTATTCTTGTTGTTAACTAGACCTCATTCAAAATGATCTATTTATTAATATATATAATATACACATGAATATATTGACACAATAAATATATGTTGATATGGTAATATGCTCATGCTAAATTATATTCCAAAAGCAGCTTACGAAACAGAATGATCCCATTTTAAAGGATGGGTAGATGAACATGTGAACAGGAATAAATGCACCAAAATATTAATAGAGGTTATCTTTAGAAGTGAGTAATCGGTGATTTCTTTTTCCTTTTTTTCATCCATATTTTCTAATATTTTTCTATGGTGAACATATTTTACTTCTGTAATTTTAAAAAGCTTAAAATGCCTCCACTTCATCCCATACACACCAGGCAAGAAGTCATTGCAGGAAACCACTAACCACTGTGCTCCCTACACTGCACAACCAGAGGGAAAGGTTTCGTCAACTACTCTTCCTGAGGCGGTCTAAATCCAAGCAGATTAGGAAACGTACAAAGTTGAGGATCTGGGCCATTGCCATCATATCCTCCATTCGCAGCATGTGGAAGAGGCCCAGAGAACTACACTCGAAAAGCAGTAAGACAAACTCAGAGCGCCAGCAGAGGCCGAGAGGCCCCAGACCCCAAGGAGTTCCAGGAGGGGTGGAAGATGGACGCAGGCTCAGCCTAGTACCTGGCACAGAGTTAGTATTCAACAAACAATTCCTGAATGAGTACATGAATTATAAGTCAATTCAGGAATGAGCTTTGTCCAACTTCCTAGGCATGCTTGGGCCCTTTCTGGCACATCCTGCTGGGCCCCAGGCATGGTGGGCCAATCATCCTGGAAGAGGCTGCCCAAAGTGCAAGAACAAGCGTACACCAATGGCAATAGGACTATAAGCACAAAGTTCCAAGAGACATATCTAGTTCTTTTTTTTTTTTATTTAAGATTTTATTTATTTATTTGACAGAGAAAGAGAGAGCACAAGCAGGGGAGCAGCAGCAGGAGAGGGAGAAGCTCCCCATTGAGCCTGGAGCTCAATCCCAGGACCCTGGGATGACCTGAGCCAAAGGCAGACGCTTAACCAACTGAGCCACCCAGGCGCCCCAAGACATGTCTAGTTCTACTCACAGCTTTACCTCTACCACCTGGCTGAACTTAGGCAAGTGACTTAAACCATCGCAGCCTCTGTCACCTCATCTGTAAAACAGAAATAATATCCTCTACTTTTGGGGATCCTTGTGAGGAACAAATGAGGTAAAAAAAAAAAAGAGGCACAGCATTTAGCACAGAGTCTAGCTAATAAGCATTTTTGTAGGTATAAATACTGTTACCAGTGTATGCATATTGTACATATAGCAATGGGCACAAGATTTCCTCTGGTAAAGGTACAAGATCATTTGGAGCCACTTAGGTAAGTAGGCTCAAGGAAGGTGCAATTAAATGCCCATCTAATGGGTTCCAATACATTGCTGCTTGCAGGAAATGCTGCAGCACGGAAGGTGAGTGTGGCAAGTGGCTGACTGTCCCCCAAATCCATTCTCCCCTTCTTCCATAATAAGAGTTTTAGCTGGACACAGTTAACCAGCTACAGCCTACATTTGCCTCCCTCCTTTGGAGCCAGGTGTGCCCACATAATCAAGGGCACACAATGGGGTGTGTACAGAAGAGATGTGCACAACTTCTGGGTTGTCTCCAAATTCAAGACAAGCTGATTGCAATGAATAAGCTCTTTCTCTGTTTCTGCAGAATATAATGCTGAAGTAACAGTCACGCAGATGTAACCATTCAGACAAGAACAATGCACTAAGGGGCCCGGAAAGAACCTGGGTTTCTTTTTCTTTTTTTTAAGAGAGAGAGAAAGCGTGAGCACAAGCGGGGGAGGGGGAGAGGGAGAGAGAGAATCTCAAGCAGACTCCATGCTCAGTGCAGAGCCTGACGCAGGGCTCAACCTCACAACCCTGAGATCAAGACCTGAGCCAAACCAAGGTTGGATGCTTAACAGACTGAATCACCCAGGTGCCCCAAGAACCTGGGTTTCTAAATGATCTCATGGGGCACAGCTAACCCACAGCCTGGACTCTTTAAAAAAGAAATACACTTCTACCTTATTTAAGCCACTGCCTATGTAGTTCTCTTTGTTTAACAGGCTTAGTTTAAATAATATATTAAATATTCTCATTAGCCTATAGTCAAGTAATAAAAGTGTTAAATTGAAGCCTATGAAATTGCTGTTTTTGTAGGTCGAAAATACTGGAATATCCCTACACAGTTCAACCTAATGAAATCTGGTCAGATATTTTAAAGAAAGAAAACTCTTTTCTTCATAATAGCTACTTCACCCTGTAATTAATGTGTGGGAAAATAAGATGCAATATACAGAAGCTATAAAACATCACTAAGAGAAACTGAAAAAGGCCTACATAAATAGTAAGATAGCCCATGTTCATGGATTGAAAGACTTCATGTTTTTAAGATAGCAATACCCCCCAAAATGATCTACAGGTTTAATACAATCCCTATCAAAATCTCAACTGCCTATTTTGGAGAAATTGACAAAATGCTCCTAAAATTCATTTGGAAATGCAAGGCACCCAGAATGGCCAAAATAATCTTGAAGAACAACAATAAAGTTGGAGGACTCATACATCCTAACTTCAAAACTTACTACAAAGCTACAGTAATTAAAACAGAATGGTACTAGCGTAAGGATAGATACATAAACCAATGGCGTATAACTGAGTCCAGAAATAAACCCTTACATTTATGGTACATTACTTTTTGACAAGGGTGACCATTTAATTAGAAGAACAGCCTTTTCAACAAATACAGGAGTCCCCATTTATCCATGGGAGATACATTTCAAAACCCTCAGTGGATGCCTGAAGCTGCAGGTAGCACAGAACCCTATATATGTTTTTTCCTATACATACATACCTATGATAAAGTTTAATTTGTAAATTAAGCATAGTAAGAAATGAACAATAATAATAAAATGGAATTATAATATACTATAATAAAAGCTATATAAATATGCTCTCTCTCTCAAAATCTTATTGTTCTATATTCACCCTTCTTCTTGTGATGATGTGAGATGATGAAAAAACCTATGTGATGAGATGAAGTGAGGTGAATGATGTAGGCGCTGTGATACAGCGTTAGGTATTCTGATGATAGGTCTGACCTTCCAGACCATGGTTGACCATGGGTAAATGAAACCATAAAAAAGCAAAACCACTGATAAGGAGGGACTACTGTAGTCACAAGCAAAAGAATGAAGTTAAACCCCTTACCTCACACCACATACAAAAATTAACTCAAAATACAACACAGATCTAAATGTAAAAGCTAAGTTTTGTAACTCTTAGAAGGTAACAGGTATAAATATTCATAACCTAGGGCATGGTTTCTTAATATGACACCAAAAGCACAAGCAACCAGAGAAAAAAACAGATAAACTGGACTGCATCAAAATGAAAAATGTTGTATTTCAAAGAACACCATCAAGAAAGTAAAGAGACCCCACAAAGGGAGAAAATATTTGCAGATCATGTATATGATAAGGGACTTGTATTAAGGGCGCCTGGGTGGCTCAGTTGGTTAAGCGACTGCCTTCGGCTCAGGTCATGATCCTGGAGTCCTGGGATTGAGTCCCACATTGGACTCCCTGCTCAGCAGGGGGGTCTGCTTTTCCCTCTGACCCTCTTCCCTCTCGTGCTGTCTCTCATTCTCTCTCTCAAATAAATAAATAAAATCTTTAAAAAAAAAAAGGGACTTGTATTAAGGATATATAAAGAACTCTTTCAAATTAAAAATAAGACAAATAACTCAATTTTAAAATTGGTAAAGGATTTCAATAAACCTTGTATCTGGAGACCTGTATATCTCCAGAAAAGATATACAAATGGCCAATAAGCCATGAAAAGACATTCAACATCAGTAGACATTAAGGAAATAAAACCAAAACTACAATGAGATACCACTTCATATCTAACAGCATAGTAGTAATTAAAAAGACATATAATAAGTGTTGAGAGGATGCAGAGAAACTGGAACCCTCCTACACTGCTAATGAAAATGGAAAATGACATAGCTGTGGTAAAAAACACTCTGGTGGTTCCTCAAAAAGTTAAACACAGAATTACCATATGGCTTGGCAAATCCACTCCTAGGTATATACTCAAGAGAACTGAAAATATGTTGACACAAAAGCTTGTACAAAAATGTCCACAACAGCATTATTCATAACTGCCAAAAAGTGGAAACACTTCCAATGTCCAGCAACTTATGAATGGATAAACAAATTTCCATACAATGGAATATTATTCCGCTACAAACAGGAACAAAGTTCTGACTCATGCTACAACATGGATGGGGAACCTTGAAAACATGATAAAGCCAGTCACAAAGACCATATATTGTATGATTCCATGTATATGAAATGTCTATAATAGGCAAACCCATGGAGACAGAAAGTAAATTAGTAGCTGCTGGGGGTAGGGAGAGGCAGGATTCAGGAATGACTACTAATAGGCCCTGGGTTTCTTTTCGGTGTGATAAAAATATTCTGGAGATAGCAGGTGTAGTGGTTGGAACGGTAGTCCTAAAATAATATGTCCACATCCTAATATGCAGAATCCTTATGTGGAACAGAATCTCCCCTAAAGTCTCTGGAGGGAGTGTAGCCCTGTAAATACCGGTTTCAGACTTCTGGCCTCCAGACTACAAATGTCTATTCTTTAAAGCCACCTGGTAATTTATTATAGCAGCTCTAGCAATTCAACAATGGTGATTGGTACAAATTTGGTAAATTTACTAAAAAGCACCCTCTTATACATTTTAAAGCGTGAACTCTGTAATGTGTGTAAGATCCCATTAAAATTGTTATTTAAAATATAAAATACACACACTCGGGTGCCTGGGTGGCTCAGTTGGTTAAACATCAGACTCTTGATTTTGGCTCGGGTCATGATCTCAAGGTTGTGAGACTGAACCCCACATCGGGCTCAGTGCAGAGTCTGCTTGGGATTCTTTCCCCCTTCCTCTCTCTCCCTCTCTGCCCCCAATCATGTGTGCTTTCTCTCTCTCTCAAATAAAATCTTTAAAAACATAAATACACACTCATCATATACACACACAAGCTCACTTCATACAACTCATCAGGAAGAAACAAATTCATGGACCAAGTACAATGATAACCTATAGTCCTTTCCTTTGGTATGACCACGGTGATGTTACTATCTCACAGCCATGAGGATGCAGACTCTGTAGAAGACCATCCGCCCATCAGCGAAGACGAGATATAGATAGATAGATAGATAGATAGATAGATAGATAGATAGATATAGATACAAGAGATATTTATATATATTTATTTATTTTTTTTTTTGATTACAAGATTTTTAGATCCATGTCCTTATGACCTATTGGCTGATATATACTAGCGGGGTGGTTGGTCGAATCTGTGACTCTGAGGTTCTGGGTACCTGCTTGAGACCCATCTTTTCCCATTTCTATATCACTGTTCAACAGATAGAGCCCTGACTAAAAGGTTAACCAGACAACTAGAAAGGCTAATTTCCAACCCACCAAAATAAAAGAGATCGCACAAAGAATACTCATCAGCTGAAGAGCTTACAGTGGGGACAGGTCCAGCAGTAACAGCCACAGTTGCTAAGGCAGCCAGGATGACCCTGGAGAAGGTTCCTAGGAATGACCGGGTGCCCTCACCACCCTACCGTCAGAGATGTGAGTGCACATTGCCCCTGAGATCTACAGGTCTTTCCTATGGAGCAATCACCAACACACAGAGATGGTACCTGCCACAGCACTAAAGGGACTTTGGGTAGGTGAAGGCATTAGAAACAGTCCCATGCCAACCTGGGAATTACTGTAGATTGCTTTGAATGGGTCACTTAGACCTATTTGGGGTGCCTGAGAGTCTACACATCTTCAATTCTCCAAGTCCTGAAACGTGCGTGCAGCCAAAATAGACCTGGGGAGCACTGACCCTGAGCCTCTGGACCTTACCTCCACACGTCACTGCCTTTGGAAAACATGGAGGCACGAATGACTTCGGGTGCCATCCAAGCATATGTTCCTGCTGCGCTCATCTTTGTGGTCCGATGCCATTCTCGAGCCAGGCCAAAATCAGTGATCTTCAGAATCTTGTTGCTCAGGTCTCCGTTCTCCACCTTCTGGAGGATCAATACTGGGCAAGGAAAGGACACAGGAGAAACCAGAAAGTCTGCATTAATCATAGGAAAACCAGAGAATACAGAGCCCTCCTGCCAGACTCTTGTCCTCTCCTTCAGGCTCGCTGGGCAGCTACCATGGACTGATGGTAGGAACCATCATTTTTGGTAAGATGCACCTACGATACATCCATTTCTGTGCCAAGTCTTTTATAGGCATTATATTTAACTCACAACAACCTTAGGAGGTAGGTATCACTGCCACACCCTTTTTACAAGATGAGGGAACTGAGATACAGCACCAACTAATAATAAGTCTGCAGGCAGCTGGACTCAAGAGCCCTCTCTCTTAAGCCTCAAGGCTTATAGCCCATTCATACCCTATGGAAGGAGCCATGAGGTCAGAGCTGACCCCCTCTTTGAGGAGAGCCTACTTGGGCTTCCTCTCTGCCCGGGCACCCCTGGGCCATAACCACTCTTGGACCACAAGGAGTGGCAGTGCATGGTGGATTTCCAAGGTTTCAGACTGTGCCTGGGCAGTTTCCATGAACCTCTCCAAGTCACTTTACTTAAGCCTATAAGAAAACATGTCTTTTGGGCATAGAGATTTCCCCTTGAGCTGGGAACTCAACCCCAGGCATTGAGGACCGGCTGACAAGTTGGAGAAGTCAGAGGGTACACACATGTTCACACCCACGAATCTCTGTGGATATGACCCAGGAAGAAAGAACTAGTGCCCCGAACCAGTTATACTCTGGGCCTGTCTAACACCAAAGCACCAACGTGTGGAGCCATCTTGGCTCTCCAAGGACGGTAGCTGAGGTGGCCACCTCCCCTAGGTTCCAGGGATATGTGTCCCCTTGCAGGAGCCAATCTTCCTAAAAAGAGCAAAAACGCTAACTGACTAAAGTGCTGTAGGCTAAGCCAAGGAACTCTGAGCCGGCGGTGGATGCATGCAAGCCAGACCTCCATTTCCACAAGTAGGATGGTTCTGAAGGCGCCATGCAAGCACAACCTCCTGTGGGCCGACAATGAACCGCCTAGAATTCAGAGCTCGATACTCAGGATTTCAGAGAAGGAAAAAGGAGTCTCTCCCCATCCCTGCTATTCAAGTCCAAATGGGGAGGGTGGGGAAAGTAATCCACTGAAAACAGAGTGACAACTAAAAAAAGGTTGACTCAGTTCCTCCAGCCACTCTATCTAGGTAAACAATGAAAAAAACGAGTTCTGAGCCCTACGTGGGCCGGGTTACACCCTTCCTGGGTTGATTCTCCACTGACTCCCACTGAGGGGCTCTTAAGGTGGCTTTACCTTTACCTCTCCAAGAGGCCTTTGCAATTTAAGATTCCCTGGAGAGCTCAAATTCTATAAGTATCTAAAGAAAGGGATCTGTGATGGTGATACTTTGGGTACCAAGGAGGGGCTCGGGGGTGCCTTTGAGGGCAAGGACCTTAGGCAGGTCCCTCAAGTCACATACTGTACTTTCCTCTTTCTGTCCCCAGCCTGCAAACGTCGACTGAATTGCTACATATTAGAAGGAAGTGGGCCAAAGATCTGTGTCCTACGTGCTTCTCAGAAAATCAGCAGTGAAGAGGGATTACAAGGAGCTACAGAGCTGGAAGCACAAAGAAAACCGTGCCAGCCCCTCCCTAGATCTAATGGACTCGGTGTCCTTCCTCCACACCCTCTCTGACTCCCCTGACACACCCTTCCCCATTCTGACCTGAATGGATCCAAGCCTCTAAAGGCTTGGGGGCAAATTAAAAACAACAACAACAACAACAACAACAACAATCAACTTTCTCCATCTCACTGAATAACAAAAATCTTTCCAGATTCTTCTGTGCCCCTCTCCCCATCTCTGCCAGCAGAGATAACAGACAAATATGCTGGGCCACTGGCACTGAAGAAACTCACCATTCCCTGTAGAGAGGCAGCCACCAGCCACTGAGCATTTCTAAGCCAAAGAAATGGTCAGCCACTGACCCTTAAACCAAAGATTTGGAGTGAGCCCATCCGATTACACAGCCAGTAGGGTTTGGTCTTGTTACCCACCCCACCCCCAACTCCAGGTGCTGGGACGGGGTGAGTGGGAGGAGGGTAACAGTTTCATGATACATACGGAACCAGCTGAGCTTCCACAGATTTTATGCTGGAAGGGGAAGCAAAGAAGTTTTGGTCCTGTTATAGGAAATGGATTTTTAGAAAACAAATGGCATGGTGAAGATGATATTTTAAATACATCAGTCTGTCAGATGGCTCAAGAGGGATGGTAGAATGATGGAGATGGGGCAAGAATCAGCCCAGGAAAGATCTGCCTGAATATGAATGCCTTTAGATAGTACAGGTCCAGCCCAGTTCCACCTAGACCCACCACTCCCTGCTGCCTTAAATCCAGTGGACTTCAAACAAGTTTCCCATATGTTGGACCCCTGAAGGCATAGGAGTTAGAAATCCCTGGCCTTGAGGTCCCGACCTCAGCAAAGAGAAGAGGCTGTAATCAGAAGCCAGCTAGTAATCCTGGCTACATCTCTTGATTTCTATCTAGTTCCAAAACATTTTTTATCACCCCCCAAAAGGAAATCCACACTCATCAGCAATCACTCCCCATTCTCCCTCCACCCGGCCCCTAACCGCCATCAATGTGCTATTTCTATGGATTTACCTGTTGCAGGTATTTTATACAAATGGAATCATGCGGTAGTCACACATCTGGTTATTTTACATAGCATAATATTCTCAAGTTTCCTCTATATAATAGCTTGTATCCACAGGGCACTCCTTTCTATGGTTGAATAATATTCCTTTGTATGTATATACCACAATTTGTTTATCCATCTGTCCACGATAGACATTTGAGCTGTTTCCACCTTTTGCTTATTGTAAGGTAGTGCTGCTATGCACATATAGGTACATCTATTTGTTTCCGGACCTGTTTTCAGTCCTTTGGGATATGTACCTAGGAGTGGAATTACCAGGTTTTTCTGGTAATTCTATGTTTGCTGTTTTCCACAGCAGCTGCACCATTTTACATCCCCATCAGCAATGTATGAGGGTTCCAATTTCTCCACATCCTCAACACACTTATTTTCCTTTTTATTTACTTTTTAAAAATTATAGCCCTCCTAGCGGATGTGGAGTCGTGTATCACTGTGGTTCTGACTTGCATTTGCCTAACGACTAATGATGCTGAGCATCTTCCCATGTGCTTGTTTGCCATTTGTATATCTTCTTTCAAGAAATGTCTTTTTGTTTTGAATAATAAGAGTTCTTTCTATATATTCTGGGTACTAAACCCTTATCAAATATATGGTTTGCAAATATTTTTCCCCTTTCTGTATGCTGTCTTTTCACTTACCTGACAATGTTCTTGGATGCACAAAAGCTTTTAACTTAGATGAAGTCCACTTTATCTGTTTTTTTATTTTGTTGGTCATGCTTTTGATATTACATCAAGGATTCCATTGCCAAATCCAAGTTCATGAAGATTTACCTCTGTGTTTTCTTTTAAGAGTTTTATGGGATCAGCTCTAATATTTAGGTCATTGACCCATTCTTAGTTTATTTTTGTGTATCACATAATGGTGTTCAACCTCATGTGTTGGCATGTGACTATCCAATTGTCCCATTTGTTAAAGAAAAAGGTTTTACTTGTAAAAACAGAATGGAGTAGCTCCCTCCCAGTACACTTTCCCTGGGGAGAGAAAGGTTCTAATCACAGCAGCTTACTCTTCTGTACCACGGCAGTTAGACCCTTCTGAGCTTCTATCACTGACAAACAGCCAGAGCAAAAACAAATCACTGTGCTTTACTTCTTAGAAAATTTAAGAATGTTTTATCAAAATCTAATGAAGTCCATCCAAGTGTGTTGTGTAAAGCTCACCTCTCACAGGTAGGGCAGTGGAGCAAGTCCAAGCTAAGTCAATGGGGGGCTAGCCAGGTACGGGGAACAGAGAGGAAAAGGCGCATCTGAAATAAAAGCCTTAGTGACTAACCCGAGAGAGAGGCTTGATGGAGAAGGGAGAGGTTCCCAGCCTTTCAGATGTGGGTGACAAGTAGAATGGTGGCACCCCTGATTGAAGTTGAAAGGCAAAGCCCTTTGAGGAAGCCAAGTTCAATTTGGGACGTAATGGATATAGGGCGACAGTAACAAGAGTCAGGATGGATCAGAAAAAAACCCAAAAAGCAGACAATTTAGATCCTAGCCTTGACACCCTACATGTGACCCTGGACAAGTTTTAGAAACTCTGCACTTCTACTCTCACTTCTATAAAATGGGAATAAAGATTAAAGATGATGTAGGGGCGCCTGGGTGGCTCAGTTGTTAAAGCGTCTGCTTTCGGCTCAGGTCATGATCCCTGGGTCCTGGGATCGAGCCCCGCATCGGGCTCCCTGCTCAGCAGGAAGCTGCTTCTCCCTCTCCCACTCCCCCTGCTTGTGTTCCCTCTCTCGCTGTGTCTCTCTCTGTCAAATAAATAAATAAAATCTTTAAATAAATAAATAAATAAAGACGATGTAGTAAAAAAACTTTTTTAAATAATAAACTCCCTCTCCTCCTATATAAATTAAATTAAATAATTATTAAATAATAATAAATTAAACTAAAAAAATAACTTCCTTCTCCTCCTATATAAAAAAAATAAATAAATAAAGGTGATGTAGTAACGAAGCACCTAGCAGAGTGCCTGACACCTAAACAGGGACTCGGGACACTATAGCTATTATTGTTACTTTGATGATTAAACATCTCATACATAAGTGTAAGCCATGGGACTCGGCGTCCAAGGTACTGAGGTCACTGTGGGAAGCCTGGGAGTCCCTGACAGATGATAACCATGCAATAATTTTTTGCTGTAGAAATAAATGGAATAGTTGATAAATTAATAATGCTAGCTACCCATTATTGATCCCTTGCTATGTAGTGGCATGATGCTCTTTGCATAATGTATATAAAGAGCTTCACATACAATACCTTAATCCTTAAATCAACCCTATGAAGTAGGTGCAAATATTTTCC